AGTCTGGAGGCAATGAAGGCATAGATGAAGATTTTTACTGCATTGCAGGTGAGGAATTAAGAGTCGAGCAAAATGCGGATTTGCATTGGTTCCATGAGCACCCAGGGAGGCTGATGTGATTAGCACCAACAGTTAGGAGTCACTGGCAGGGCAGCCTCAGTTTTGCCAACACTAAATTGTAGAAAGTTAGGGCGTGAATGTCTGACAAGAAGTCTGACAGAAATGCGGTAGTCCTAGAATTGAGGGTAGAAGCAAAAAGCTGGAGATAGGTGTCAACCTTATGCATGTGAAAGTGGATTCCTTACCCGCAAATGATGCTAGCAAAGAGGCGCATGTAACAATAATAATCCTTGCATTTGAAATAACAACCTTATCACGTCTTCGAGATGTCTCAACGCGCTTCACAGAATATACTGTAAAGTGAATTGACTGCATATTTTGTGGGCAAAATGGGGCAGCCAATTGCGCACAGCAGTGTCCCACAAACAGTTGTGGATTGAATGACCAATTTATTATTAGTAGTATTTTTTTGAAGGAATTATTACTCACAGAAAAGCAATCCAACAATCAACTAACAACCGGGTTCCTACTCACTGCTAGGCAAACAGAGATGTGTGGAGCAAGGAAACTTGACCAACATTTCACCCTGCCGGGAATCGAACCCAGGTATTTCGCTTGCGAGGTGAGTGCTCTAACCACTAAGCTACAGGATTCTACACATAGATCAGGAAAAGGGGAAGACCGAGGATAGAGCCCTGAGACACACAGAAGTGACTGTACAAGCACAGCAGGAGCCATAGTGAAGACGCTATTGAGTCTTAGATGGATGTGAACCTCCTCGGACAGATGCACGTGAAACCAGAAAGCAGGATAGTGTGAAGCCACAGAGGTGTACCCGAGAAGATAGATGGTGGGTAAGGGTGGAATGGTCTCCTTTACCCTACACGTACATTAGACCTAGGAAAACAAAGTACCACAGTGCTTGCGGATGGAGTTAATAAATAAAATGGACATACAGAGTAGTAGTATTCTTTATCCCTCCACAATCGTATGCAAGCCAGGAACAAGTACCAGAATTACACCAGCACACAATTACAAAGCATTTGAGAGTAAACTAATTGGAGTTATTGCAGGTAAAGAAGCTGAATGGAGTTGTTCTCTATAATCTTATTCACCCAAGTTGATCTAGTTTAAAATAAACAGGCAAATGAATTAACTGCACTATATTAGCAGTTGGATTCAAGGTATTTTTGTTCAAAGCTACTTGTAACTAGTTATTACTGTTTGTCTAATATACCCAAAAGTAATTTCGAAACAACTATTTTACCAAGTAAACCAATGGACCGAATTACTGCAGTTATTTTAAGCCCTGTAGATATAGAACAAATTAATTAGACTAATCTTCATTCCTCACCAAAATACTTGGCTTACTAATTAGTTCAACTTTTTGTATTTCCTTTCCTGAAGGCATAGGCTCAATATGGGCTAAGATTCTCACAGTTGACCTATTCAAAGACCTTGCCCAAGGACCCTTGACTTTGAGTAGCATCACAGATGAGCCTGACAACATCTTTGCCAGATAACATCACACTTTCCCACAGGGTCAGTAGATAATGATTAGGAGCAGCAGCACCCGGGTTAATTTCTTCCTTTGTTGTCCAGGGGTACTGACCAATTGTCACCCCCCCCCCCATCCCCTCAGTATCTCAGTTCTCACACACCAGGAATTAAATCAAAGGTCTTCCAGAGCTATACATCAACAACAACTTACATTTATATAGGGCCCTTCACAAGGGAAGTCCTGTAGCTCAGTGGTTAGAGCACTCGCTTTGCAAGTGAGAGACCTGAGTTCAATTCCAGGCAGAGGGCGAAACCTTGGGCAAGTTTCCTTACTCCACACAGAGCCTAATAATAATCCTCCAAAACCAAAACAATAATAAATGGTCATTTTCAATCCACGACTGTTTGTGGGACATTGCTGTGCGCAATTGGCTGCCGCGTTCGCCCACAAATATACAGTCAATTCACTTTACAGTGTGTTCTGTGAAGCGCTTTGGGATGTCCTCCCGACGTGAAAAGCGCTATATCAAATGCAAGGATTATTAAGGGGCACGGTCTCGGATCGCTTAACAGTGTTGGATATCAATTTCACTCATGGCAGTAGCTTCATCAAGTCAACTAGGAGTTTTATAGTTATATGTATGACAACATAGCCACGGCTACCAAACCCACCTAACCAGCAAGGACAACAATTGAGTAAGTACATCCACCTTACCACATCGTCAGATCCACCACAGGAAACATAACCATATGAAGAGCCCCACAATTACAAACCAAGATCTTTTTAACAACTCTTTTATTCTCCATTTTCTAACCTACAGACACTAACCATGTTATTATGCAAAGCAGATGAGGGCTGGATGATTTACCAAGTGAAGGATAAAATAACTGAAATATTGGGCAGCTCAGGTTGCGGAATGGTGGATGGCTTTCAAACAGCCTAGCCTAACCTAAACTGTCAACAAACTAAATTTTTATCCAGAATAGAATTTGTTTTTCAGCATGAATGATGGCTTCAAACTGTTGCATGAAATCAGCCTTCTGCAATTCTTTCCCTTAAGATATGTAAAAGCAACTAGCCAAAAATCTCTGTTGCTTTTTCAAATGGAGAGGGATCTAGTAAAAAAAATTATTGCTATAGACCTAATTGTAGCATAATTCCAACTCAAAAGTACCAAAATTGAACAAACATTGTGGCCCGTCAAAAAAATGCCCTGATCGAAGAATATATTGTCGTCAATTCAGATATACCCAAATGTTCCAATTATATTGTATTGGATCCTAAACCACACTACTTATTGTAAACGTTATTACATCTTTTAGGACTTGGCACCCAGTCATTAGAGATTTCCTAAAGTAGCTACTCCTTTTCCGGGCCAGCCATCACACAGCCTGCAAAAGTAGAACAAAAGACAGATGCGTTTCTAAGATGCTCCGCAGATTATCAATGAAGCTGTCAATCAAATACAAAGGTTTTCCTGGCTTGTAAGATAAAGACTACAAATTACAACTGTGACGGTTTTCAAAAAAAAGTAGCAAAAAAACCTACAAAACTGTCTCAACTCTCAAAGTACTCATATCACCATTATCAGATCTGTTTGTTCTTTCATTGAATCACTGGAATTTTAGTACAAGGTCATTTGACCCATCATTTCCGAACTGTGATAGCTTCCTGCATAAACTATCCAGTGTAGATACGGTCATAAGCAAACTATCTCAATGGCAAATCTATATAGGTTAGTAATCTCAAAGACGTGATGAAGCGCTATATCAAATGCAAGGATTATTATTAGTGGTAGTAATTCAACTCGCCCATGTTGGAGCATTGTCGTGACACGTGACAGAAGAGAAGTTGGTAGGAGTCAGATAGTTCATGCGTCACTTGTCTGAGATAGGATGAGGTAGTAGGAAATAAATTATTTTTAACACTTAATATTTGGTTAAATTGGATATTTTTAATCATGTAAAACTGCTGGAAAAGTGTGAGTGACAGAAATAATCTCCTATAAAAATAAAACAGCGCTTATAAACAAAGGTAAAAAAAACAAAAGTTGTTTTCCTTCCTGCCTTCAAAATATTAGGGGGAGGGGAAGAGGGATGTCAATATAATGTTATTATAATAATAATCCTTGCATTTGATACAGTGCCTTATCACGTCTTTGAGATGTCTCAAAGCACTTCACAGGATAATAATAATCCTTGCATTTGATATAGTGCTTTTTCACGTCTTCTAGATGTCTCAAAGTGCTTCACAGAATAGACTGTAAAGTGAATTGACTATACATTTGTGGGCGAAATGCAGCAGCTAATTGCGCACAGCAGTGTCCCACAAACAGTCGTGGATCGAAGTGACCAATTTATTATTGGGTTTTTGGGGAATATTATCAGGCGTGTGGAGTAAGGAAACTTGCCCAAGGTTTCTCCTTGCCGGGCATCGAACCCAGGGCTCTCGCTTGAGAGGCGAGCGCTCTAACCACTGAGCTACAGGACACTGAGCTACAAGCGCTCTGAGACGCCGCCCGGCCTGGCGGGCGCGACACAAATCCAAGTTGCTGTTGTCGAGCCGCAGGACCCCACACTGCGAAGCGCTGCAAAGTGAACCGACTGTACGTTTCACGGGTGAAACCTGGCAGCCGGCTGACCGCACGCAGTCGCGGCCGGGGCCAACAAAACGATGATTACGATTACTGACTTGAAGGGTTCATTCCCTGAAGTAATGTTAACGAACGCGCCTTTGGAACAGCTCGGTGTGTCTGACAAGTGCAGTATAAGGTGCCAGTTTAAAGCAACAGGGGAGGGAGGGGGGGGGGGGGGGGGGAGGGAGGGAGGGCGTTAAAAAAAATAGTCCTCTTCCTTTTCTATTGCAAGATCATCATTCCCTGGTTCGCAGGAGCCGGTCTCACGGCGATGATGTAGTGGCGCGCGTGGTGTGGGCGGGGAAGGGGAATGGAGGAGGTTTCACAGTGGGGGGGGGACGGGGGGCAGTTTCGGCCTTGGCGCCAAAGCCCAATATGTCAGGTTACTCGTTACCTCCCCTTCCCCACCGTTTACAACCCCCACACCCACCCACACCCCACACACCCCCCTCCCCACAACCACCACACCTTACACGGGTCCCACTTAGAAGCGATTAACGCCGCCCACTCCAACACAGACAGACACACACACACACACACACAAGGCCCGAAGCCACCTTGTGACGTTCAGGAGAGGGAGGGAAGGGAAAGGAAGGGGGGGGGGGGGGGAGAGAGAGGCCTCGGCCTGGTTGAAAGAGGCAGAGAGTGAGGGAGACTCCCCCCCCCCCCCACACACACACACACACAGGCCTCACTCCCTCCCTCACTCACTCACCTGCTAAACACACAAAGAGAGAGAGAGAGAGGGGGCGGGAGGGGAGAAGCCGCCGCCGCCACTCCCTCCCTCACTCACTCCCTCCCGACCTGAACTGACTTTGACTTGACCGCGCGCCGTCCGTCCGTCCGTCCGTCTCCTCAGGTTCCTTCACTCAAAACACCACAGAAAACCGGCGGTGGCGGCGGCGGCGGCAGCAGCTGCTGACGGCTCCCCGTCGATCCATCTCTCTCTCTCTCGCTCTCTCTCTCGCTCTTTCTCCTCAGTCTCCTCCTCCTCCTCTCTCTCTCTCTCTTCCGCGCCGTCGGGACTGACAAACAACGGCGCTATTCTCTCACTCCCTCTCTCCCCGTCCGTCAGTCCGTCAGTCAGTCAGTCTGTCTGTCTGTCTCGCTCTCTGTGGCGCTCGAGCCGCCGCCAGTGCGCGCGCGTCCGTCCGTCCGTCCGTCCACCCGCCCTCCCGCTCGTGTTGACACAGCTGACTGAGCATGCGCGCCGAGCCCGCGCGGCATTGTGGGCCCAACGGTCGGTCGGTCGGCCGAGCGAGCGAGCGAGCGAGCGGGCGGGGCGGGGCGAGTGCGCGCCTGCGCACTTCTCTCCCTCTCTCTCTCGCTCTGTCTGCCCGCCCGCCCGCCGCTGAGCGGGGTTTCTCGCCCAATGTGGGCGGGTCTCACGCCCACTTTGGGCGGTTTCCCCCCCTTCCCCCCCGCGGTGAAACCGACCAACAATTTGAGCTCATGTCGAATTAACTGCAAATAACTAATGTCATCATTCAGTGTTGTTTTTTTTTTTCCCCCCCCCCCCGGTACGCGCTGAGGCGCTACGTCAGGTGCGCGGGTCGTTGTCGTTACAGTCGGAGTTTTTCCGGGAATAATAATAGTAATAATAATAATAATAATGGTAATTACTCCAAAAAAAACAACAACAACAACAACGACGACGCGGTCACTCCATCCGCGGCTGTTTGTGGGACGCCGTTGGGCGCAATTGGCCGCCCCCCCCACCCCCCCCGCGCTTTGCCCACAAAATACTACGGTCACTACACTTTACGGTATATTCCGTGAAGCGCTTTGAGACGCCGCGCCAACGTGATAAGTCTCTATATCGAATGCGGGGGATTATTATTATTATTATTATTATTTTTATTATTGTTCAAATGGCATTGGCGTACAAGTGTTTAACTGTAGTGAGACGTCCAACAGAGGATCGCTGCGAGTGCGTGAGCGCCGTCATTTTCGTGGCAGATAGCAATCGGTCAGCAGGTTCGTTGCGACCCCTTTCCGTGGCGTGGACGGATGAAGTGAGGAGGACGTCACCGGTGTCCGACATCGTTACGCTCGACTCATCTGCAACAGCAAATAAAATGACATTGTCGGGGGAAAAAAAAGGGACAGAACTTTGTGGACACCCTGTACTCCTCTTCTCCTGTCTCAAATCCCCACTTCTTCTTTCCCCTCTTCTCTTCTTCCTCTGTCTCCCCCTTCCATCCCTTTACTTCCACTTTACTCCCATATTGTTTTCTTGTATCTTCTTCTCCTCTTCTATGCTCTCCCCCCTTTCTTTCCCCTTCCCTTATTCTCCCTTCCGAGAAAAGGCCAATGGAGAAGGATTAAATAATAATATGATTTATAATAATAATATAATAATAAAAATCACAAAACTGATTTGAGCGAAGAAATGCTCTTCGATCCATCGGATCTCATGCGGACTCCTGTAGTTTGAGGACTCGCCTCGCAAGCGAGAGACCTGGGTTCGATTCCCGGCAGTTCAGGGCGAAACCTTGGGCAAGTTTCCTTACTCCACACGCCCGATAATAACCCCTCAAGAAAAAATATAAATAAAATAATAATAATTCGGTAACTCAATCCACGCCCATTTGTGGAAAACTGCTGTGCGCAGTTGGCTGCCGGTTTCGCTCACAAAATATGCAGTCACTACACTTTGCAGTATACTCTGTGAAGCGCTTTGAGACGTCTCAAAGACATGATATATGAAACGCAAGGATTATTATTATCTCTAAAAGGTTCCCCACTGAGACGTCTTCTCTCAACACTGAATGATTATTATTACCCTTTCAGAAGAAGGAGAGCCCCAGTGGGGCCTTCTGTGCTGTAAGATTCTATTCGACAGCTGAACATGGTTCACAGCTTTTGCGGTCTATCTTGCTCTTTGTGGTTTATAAATCTAACACAAAACATTTCCTCGGTGCAGACAGTATTGTTTAGATTCCACATGCAACCAATTTTGACGGATATCACTCTTAGACAGTTTCCTTACGCACAATTTGCGGAAATGGGAGTGTGATCTGTCTTTGTCACTCTCTCGCTAATTCTAAATCAGCAATTATTGCCCTAATAATTATCCTAATAATTCCTCATGTTTATTTCTCCGACCCATCAAGTCATTGCGTTTAAAAATAAAGGAATCTTGATTCATGTTTCTGAATGGATTTGCAAAGAGCCCTATTTGCCACGATAAGTCTCATTCTCAACATTTCTTGAAACATGACACACATTCCAGCTTAAAAACGTGACCTTCTTTGATGAATTCTTTTTATCGTGATAGCCCCCCCACAAGGAAACGGATTTTTCAAACATTGCCACTCTCACAAATCATGACAATAACTTGCATTTATGTAGTACATTTACATAGCACCATTCACGCAGGATAGCATCTAGGAATAAATGTTTCAACGGGACTTCCTATTTTTTTTCTCTCTTTCAATTCTCTTCACCCCTTCCCTCCAAGATAACAATGTAAAATTCAATGAGTGAACTGTTATCCTCCAACCGTGCTTTCATCCTCCCTGCTTCCCCCCCTACCCTCCACCCTCTCCAATCCCAACCTCCAGATCGGGTCCGAAATACTTACTGTCCAACGCCTTGAGACGTTCTCCTGAAGTCCTGTCTGCCATTTTCGGTAGAGATTAAAGTTTATTAATTGTGTCCAGCATCCCTGGCCTCAACTAACCTTCCTGGTAACCTGTTCCAGTTATTAATTACCCTCTGGTTAAAAAGTACTTCCCGGTATCTGCCTTGAAATTGCCCTTTGCAACCATAACCCTGTTGTCCACTTCTTCTGCTATCTCTGTGCATCTGAAAGTATTGTTCTGGGTTTACCTGTTCAATCCCATTTCAAATCTACAGAATCCCCTCTGAGTCCTTGCAAGATGGAAGAGCTTGTCTGTTTGTTGCTCATATAATTAATTCCTTTAACACTGAGGATCATCCGACTTTCTCTCCTGAGCATTCCCTTTAGGGCCTGGGTGGCTAGAACTGAATGTGGAATCCTGTAGCTCAGCGAGAGGACCTGGGTTCAATTCCCGGGAGGGCGAAACGCTGGGAAAGTTTCCTTACTCCACACGCCTCTGTTTACCTAGCAGTAATTAGGTACCCGGTTGTTAGTCGATTGGCAGATTGCTTTTCCGGTGGTTATAATTCCTTAAAAAAAAGAAAAAATTGGTCACTCAATCTACGGCTGTTTGTGGGACATTGCTGTGCGCAATTGGCTGCCGCGTTTCGCCCACAAATATACAGTCAATTCACTTTACAGTATATTCTGCAAAGCGTTTTGAGACGTCTCGCAGGCTTGATATGCGCTATATCAAATGCCAGGTTTATTATTATTATTCCATTAATAATAATGGGCAAGTTTCTTTACTCCACTATCAAATGCAAGCTTTATTATTATTATTGTTGTCCAACGAGCACATGTAGGCGAAAACACAGGCCCCGAGACAAGCAATGCCAGGCGATGGAATTGGTCAATGAGGATAAAATATTCCTCGCCTTCAGGAGCCAAAAGGTTGGACCATCCTACTCTACGTGAAGGACATGATACGCAAGGACATTATTGCAAGTTGCTGCTATTATTAAGTGTATCAATCTTACACTATCCATTAAATTTATCAAGGACTGTACGCGCTTCAACGTTATGGCAAAATCATCTCGACGGAGCTATTTGCTGAATCCCACAGATTTCAGATCCCGTTACTGAGAACGCTCTCACACAAGTAGTGTTCCTGCTTGCTGGTACTCGCTCCCCCTGGGAGGATTGGGAGAAGATGTACATGTTTGCCTTATGCCTGAGGAACCCAGTCGATGGCTGGCAGAAGCCAAGACACCAGGGAACCTAAAGTGTGCATTCAGGCAGAGCTGGAATTGAACTAATGAGTCCCTTTGAGTCGACCAGTTGTTTGTATCCAACCGAGGAAAAAGTTGATGTCTGGCTATGATTAGCAAACAAGCCTAATAATCTCTTGCATTACCTCGGCACTGCATGACTCAGTTGGTACAGTAGTACTTTCACCTCTGATACAGAAGGTTAGACTGACATTCCACTGCTGTGTTGGTCACTCAATCCATGACTGTTTGTGGCACACTGCTGTGCGCAATTGGCTGCCCTGTTTCACCCCAAAATACACAGTTAATTCACTTTACAATATGATAATAATAATCCTTGCATTTGATACAGCGCCTTATTTGATATATGCGCTCGAAGACACTACCCCACGTGAAGGGCTCTATATAAATGCAAGTTGTTGTTATCACGTCTTCAAGATATCTCAAAGCGCTTCACAAAATATACTGTAAAATGAATTGACTGTATATTTTGTGGACAAAACGTGGCAGCCAATCGCGCACAGCAGCGTCCCACAAACAGTGGTGGATTGAGTGACCAAGTTATAATTTTTTTTAATTTTTGAAGGGATTATTACCCTGGAAAAGCGATCCACCAATCGACTAACAACCAGGTTCCTACTTACTGCTGGTAAACAGAGGCGTGTGGAGTAAGGAAACTCACTACCGTTTCGCCCTGTCCGTTTGCGAGACGAGTGCTCAAACCACTAAGCTACAGGACTCCACAATATATCCTGTGAAGCGCTTTGAGGCGTCTTATCGACATGTTAAGGCGCTATCTCAAATGCGAGGATAATTATTATTATTATCTCTCTCTCTCATATTAAATATCTTCCAAGAAAGGCAGCAGCTGGCATTCACACCTGTCTCTCGATAGGATTCCCCCAAAGGGAGGTATTATTGGCCACATGAGGTTTTTCATCCCCAAACAAGCCATGAATGACGTAAGCCTTATGTGGCAGAGTCTAGACATGATTGCAACCCACGTGTGAGCCATTTCTCTATTAATGGTGCAAATCCATCTCAAAAAGTAACTTTCTGGAAATAAAAATCAGTAACCAAATGTTGGTTAACGCGAGTATCAAAGAGTGACCGGTGCCTGCACAAACAGTAATTTTATCTGGGGGATTGGTAGCCATGATATCAGGAGAATCTCCCTTCTCTTTTGGAATAGTGCCCTGGTATCTTTAACATCCATCTGAACAGGTAGACGGCACCTCTGATTAAAGTGTTATCTGAAAGACTTGGCACCTCCAACTATCAGCAGAGCTATGAAATGAGTCATTCAGCAAAAAGAATAGAGGGATGTGGGACACAAGTA